TTCTGTCTGTAATGTTTTGGATATAGCATTGCCTTTCCCTCGTTCCATGCTGTCCTCAAGCTCTTCAGGCAAACAGCAGCTCTGTCACAACTGGGTGTGATGCTGGAAGTTACCTTCCTTCAAGGAAGACAGTTTCCAAGTAAAAGCATATGTGGGGTAATTCTAGATTTATTGAATCAAGTCTTTAACCTCAGGAGGTAACGTGTGCTGTATTTTACACAGAAAACAATTTTCCCTGCCAGATGAAATCTTGGGGCAGAGTGTCTCTTATTTTATATAGCTGCTTGGTCATTTGTCTATCTTGGGATTAATGGTGATGGTGTAATTTAGATTCTGTAACAACGTGAGACAGATGGATTTACAGAGTTATCAGTCCAGCCACATAGAGGCAGCTTTGCTTTAAATGAATTTAGTGCCGATGAAAGGAAGAACTTGATGAAAGGAAGTCTTTCTCCACCTGCCTTGAGAATAAAGGTCCAGCTGAGGCAGGACCAGCACACTTTGCCTTTATCACCAGCGCAGGCAGTAACCGCAGGCGGGATGGCAGAGGAGCGGTGTCTGGGCATGCAGCCACAGCCTGCACAGAGCAGAAGGGAGGTTTGCTGCCTTGTGCTGCCCATCCCAGGGCTTCAGCTGAATAGCAAAGACTTGTGAAGCAGTCCAAGGGGAGCTTGTAGCCCACCTGGCATTGCATCACCTAATGTCCTAAAGAAACAGGGCAGCAGGATCATATGAGTGATGGACGGATGTGCATCCATCTCATTCCTCTGGCTCCACAAACTGCTGACCATTTTTAGTCTCAAATCAACTCAAACAGTGACTTCCTGTAAATTTAGGAAAAATAGCTGACCAGTAGAAAAGAGAGAAGCGTTAATGCTCCCCTGAGGAAGAGAACACGTCAAATATGGTGACGTTGGGACAATATGAGTCTGGGGCTGTCCAGCTGAGACCTCAAGTGGGAAAGGACCATCTCCCTAACCAGGACCGGCTTCTCAGCTTCTCACTGGGTACTTCTTTACCCAGTGCAGCAGAAATGCCAATCTCCCCGCTGCCTCCCTCAAAGCCTGGCCACCCTCTCTTTTTTCTCACTGTGTTGGCAGGAGATTTGCGAGTACATCACCATGTGCCATTTCAAGCTTCATTTGAATAAGCGTCCCATATAATAGACTTTTATAGCTCTCTTTCTGTGAATTCTAAATTAACGCAACTAATTAAAATGTTCCAAAGTTTTATGTAAATAACTAATTAGCATTTGAGAAGGAATAGTAAATTCACAGATGGTTGTGCTCCATTCAGGGCCCACTCTGCTCACACTGGCTGTAGCTATTGCAGCATCCTCCCTGGCAGAAGCCCACTGCCTGGGTTTCACCCCAAGGATGACCCAACACCATCCACCCTGCCCACAGGCAGCAGGAACTCTGTGTCTTGCAGGATTAGACCCATTCTTTCTGCCCTTGACACCAGAGCTTGCAAGAGTAAGGAGAGCATGAGAGCATGGATGGGAACCTCAAAGAAGATGAGGTCTGTGCACAGGAGACAAGGTGGGTGTCATCTGCAATGTAGTGCTCTGTCACTCCAAGGATGTTCCTCTAGAAAGCTTTCCCCAGGCACACCTTTTAGGTGTGCAAGCTGCGATGCTTAACACAATGCAGCTGAACCTCAGCACTCCTGGGTTCCAGCCCCAGCGCTGCCACTGCATCCCTGGAAGTCTCTGTTCTGTCACTCAAACACTGCACCCGAGCATCTCAAGAGGCAACGTAAGCTGAGTATTTTCCTCTTCTCTCACAGGATTGGGGCTAACTGATGTCTGTAGCATACTGGAGAGACTCAGGGAGAGGGGCACAGGCATAACATCATGAGAATGGGGAGGTCTGAAAAACAGATCCATATTTAATGCTGATTGCTGACCAGGTGGAAGGGAAAAGAATACCATCTTCCTGACATCCAGACTCTCATATGTATCAGGAGACTTAATTTATACAGCCCTCTAACCCTACAACTCTAAGTGCTATTACAGTACAAACAAAACCCAAAACAAACCCTGCAAATACAAGGAAGGTGTTTACAAAAGTAGCCATTTAGAGTTTACCCTGGAAGAGCAAAATTATCATCAGAGCAAAAGCAGGGAGAGATCATTTCCCCTTCCTATTAAATAGGTCCTACACAACCACCCTCACCTGTTTGAAGAACGGCTCTGCAAAGGCCTGTGGGATATGGGGGATTATAAAAACCTGCTTCAGGGCAAGTTAAGGCTTTCTGGTGAATGTAAGCCAGGTGTCTAGGGAGAGGAATTGAGCTTGGGAAGATTCATGTTGCTAGGATGATGCTGCTTGGCCAGAGGGAAATTGAGGAGCAGAAGCAGGAGTCAAGGGAGAAATCATGAAGGTGAGTTTTAAGGGACAGGTTAAATGAAAGAAGTGTGCAGAGCCTTGCTGTTTGAATATGTTGAATTTAAAAACAGGAGTGTGTTCTTCAGGCATGTTGCTAGGGGAAGATATAAAATTGGGAGGTTAAGTGAATCAGGAAAGCTGGTGGGGGGTTTTCAAGGTGAGGGGGAGAAAGGGCTGTGTTGAGCATGTCTCTTCTGTGGTCTTATTTGCCCTGGAAGAATCCCCCATCTCTCTCTCTGTTTATGCATGCAGCAAACTCCTGCAGAGCAGCAAGGAGGATGCAAGCTCTCCATCTTGTCTTTCAGCCAGCATTTCTCACCCTGGCACTGGCCTGGAGAGGAGGTGAGCTGAGCTGGGTGGCCGGAGGGCAGCCTGGCCATGCTACTGGGCTCTGGAGGCTGATGTGGAGGGAGCAAACCCAGAGGAGCCTCGCTGTCTCATCCCTACCCTGATCCCACCTATGCTGCTGCAGCATGCCTGGGGAGCACAAGGCAGGTGGATACGCAGCATCTCACCCCAAACATCAACTCACCATGTTCCCAGGCAGAGCATTTGGATTTTTACCTCTCACAAGAGGAAAGCTAGAAAGCAGCCTGCTGATGCTGTGTTTCCTGAATCCATAAACGCTGATGTGAGCCCTCCCTAATTCTGGGTGTGCAGGCGTTTGGCTGCAGCCTGTCCTGAGCTGACTCTGCCTGCAAGAAAGGAGGGTCTGAGAACACTGCTCTTCCATGTCTGGAACCTGGTGGGCTGGGGGTGCTTGGAAGGGGATGGGCTGCACCTGAGGTCCCCAACAATTCAAAATAAGCCCATAAAGGGCAACTGGCAAGAATTGGAGATGCAAGGTAATGCTATAAGCAATCAACTGTGGCAACAGTCACTAGGTATTTGGAAAATCTGGGGAAGCACTAGGCTGAAATGTTAGCAGGTGTCTTCACTTAAGGGCACAGCACTGGGAGCCTTTGCCTGGGCTCTGGGTGTTGCACGAGGCACAGGGATGTGTCCCTGTGCCCATGTGGCCCCTCTTGCAGAGCTAACCCCTGGACCGGGGGGGTTCTTGGCTAGGTAGCACGTGTGCTGGCTGATAATGACCAGCAGTGTAATATATTTTAGCATTCATTGCTGAGTGGTTCTGCCTGGAAAATTGACTTGAAAATGCATTTCAGGATGTGCCAGATATTCTCATGCTAATTTCTCAGCCAAAACCTCCCGTGTGGTGTCCAATGTGATATCAGTAACTCAAAGACAGGGGAAAAATGAAGCCTCTATCTCCTTTCAAGCAATTTATTCTCCTTTTGTCTTTTTACATCCAGCAGCTAAGTAAATTGCAGGGATTAAAATACAAAAGACATTTAATTTTTTAACTGTAATTTCTTAGCTCCTGGCAACAGAGTAACGAAAAAAAGAAGAGAAATTAAGAAAAAGAATTAACCCCCAAATATAATTTCTAATGATTAAAACATAAATACAATTTTAACTGATTAAAAGTAAGAGGACCTGTTTGAGCACAAAGAAATGGCAGCAGGTTTCAGGACTCAAGTAGCTGTAATCAGCTTCAATTTCATGTTAAAAAACCAAAGGGGAAAATTGCTGCTGGTGATTACTTTGACTGTATTTCTGCTATACTTCATCTTTCTCTTTATTCAAGCTGCTTTTAATTTTATCAGCTTTATCCTTAATTCTGTTTTTCTGTTCCTCAAGTCTTGAGGGTTATCCAGCCTTCTGAACTGATTTCTGACGTGCTCTGTGGGAGGTACAGTGCCTATCTGGAGAGCTTGAGATGAAAGGTCTCTTACACCCTTTTTCTAGGTGGGCTGTAATACATAGTTCGTGGCTGTGTAGGAAGTCAGTGACAGAGCTGGGAATTATCTCAAGTCCTAATGTCCAAGCCAGAAATAAGAGAAGCCAAACTACCATTTATTCCTGAGGTGCCGTAGATCTTACAATGTAATTCTGAGCTCTGAATTCTCCTGTAAAACCAAATAACTGCTAGGCTTAGCCTAAATCCTGTTATTTTGGCACTTTTTTTAGGATCCAACTGAAGTTTTCGAAACAAAACTTAATTTTGGGGTGATGACATGATGACACCAAACACTTTTCTAAATTCTTTCAGCTTCCCATTGCCCCACCACAACACAGCTCTCCAGAAAACACTGCATGCTGTTTTCTGGTTTTAATGGTGAGAGCAGAGCCAGCACCAGAGTCACAGCTGTACACAAGATGCTTGCTGAAAAGGTGCACTTCCCAAAGTTGCTTCCCCATGTGAATTCCAGAGCAAGAAAGCTCCTACCTAAATTCTTTCATGTGTGCTCAATATTTTAGTTGTTGCAGTATCTGTTTCAGGTGTTGATTGTAGGGTTGGAACAGGGGTATTTTGAGAATTCACAGCAATTTCTCACAACAGTTCAGTGGACTTTATACTTTAGATAGTTTCAAAGTTTTTACTACTTGTGAATGTGTGATTTAAGCATTTTTGGGCTTCATGAATACCAATGTATTGAAGACGGTTTTCTGTGGTTCTCAGTCTGGGATATGCACACATATAGGAGAAATCCCTTTTACAAATAACTAACCAAAAAGGACATTCCTTTTCCTTTCGCTTTCTGCTAGGCAAAAAGCTTCACTGACCCCATTCTCTGCTGGATTTTCCCTACTGATATGCCAAGACAAACAAAAGGGCGCTCTGGACCATCCGAAACAGTGGAGGTAGCTGCAGTTGTCTCAGATCTGAGGGTGACCCGTAAAGCCTTGCTTCTGGAGAGGATGCAGCAGAACAATGTCATCCTTGTTTGCACTCATTTAAATCAGTGCCCGGTGTCTTTCCTTCCCCCTGTGCAGCACGTCCCTCGCACAGGCTCACAAAGGGCTGTATTCATCAGTGAGCAGCAACTGGTTATAACCCTTTTGAAAGACAACAGGCTGTGCCAGCTCTACCAAGGCTTGTCTTAAGAGTTCATCTTTCCTTGCTCATGCAAGCCTGGGGTGCGCTCAGCTGATTTCTGTGCATGCAGACAGGTTTGAGGGTCTAAGGACCAACTGGAGTGTGTTCCATGGGGTAGGAAGGGACTCCCTGGGTCAGCAAGTCCCACTGAAGCAGTTACATCCCCTGTGAGAGCCCAATGACTTCCATCCCAGGAGCGGTTTGGTTTTGTACCCTTGCTCCTCCCACAGACAATCTGCTGCACAACCTTGCTGTTCCATGTGGGGTGAATCTTTGCATTTCCAGCCTCAATTTATTCATGGCCAGTTTGCTCCCATTTGTTCCCATGCCAGCACTGGCCATTAGCTTAAATAGCTCTCCCTGGCACTGGATTTATTCATCTCCGTGTTTGTAGGGAGGAAGCAGCTCCTTGCATCTTTCATTTCATGAGGGTGAGACTGAAGCTCCTTTAGTTCTCCTCTTGCAGAGAGGCAATGCTCAATATGCAGTCCTTCCTGTTAACCTGCTCTTCTCTTGGGCTGAACTGAATTTATGCGCTCGGAGTCTTCCCAGGACAGGCCGGGAGGGATGACAGCAGCTGGGATGATCGCAGGCTGGCTGAGCCCAGATGCTGAGGATGCAGCTGCAAAAGCAAAGACTGAGCCAGCTACAGCGGTGAAATTGAGTAGGGAAGGGAGAGCTCCCAGCAGACTTGGACTGGAGGAAAAATTGATTGCAGTGGTGATGTGAAAACATTGCGACATAAAAAAGTCAACACGTGTTTAATTAGCTTTTGTCAGTTGACCTTAATGTAGAGAGCAGGGCTGGTCTGCCTTTCCTCGTCTCCCTTCAACAGCACATCTTTGTGTTCTCTATCCTGTCCTATGTCCTTCCCTGTGCCTGTCCCACCTCTCCTCCTGCCACTCTCCCTTCTTGCTTTCTGGAAAAGTCTTTCACAGTCCTGTTCTGGACAGTTACTGGGATGCTGGTCAGAGATTAGCAAGGTGATTTGTTTCCCAAAAGTCATTCCCAGCAGCCATCAAATGCTCTGAAGGCAGCGAAGGAAGACCTTTAAACAAGTTTAAACTGCTAGCTGTGCTTATGAGCTGCCAGGGGCTCTGTGTGGGCTCCTGTTTGCCAGTAAATTCCCTCCCACTCCCACCATAATCCAGAGTTCCCCAGGGTGTTCCCTGAAATGTTGGCTTAAACCAAAAGCATGACTGAAAATTATTGTATTACACTCAAGCAAGCAAAGGCTGTCTTTTCTAGCATGCATACACACAAGAACGAGCTCCATTCTTGAAGTTCAGACACAAGCCCATTTGGGCTTGACAAGTTAAATCAGCTTCTCCCAAATTCTTCCTGTCTCCCCTCTCATGAAGCCCAGCAGAAGTGGTTTCTGTGGCAACTCTAAAAGTCACCCTTTGGATCACCCTAGAACTGCACATCTTCCTCCCATCAAAAGGACCAGGCACTTTACACGAAGAGATAATGGACAATCATAAATTGCTGTGTAGTCCCTGTCGCTGCCTGGGAGATGCATTTGTCACCTAGCAACGACATAAGGTGATGAAGAAATAACAGATTTTTAATCTAATGGCCATGAGTTAACACCTATCAGAGAGCAGCCTCCCAAGTCCAATGATGAGGTGGATATAATTGATTGAGGAGGCAAGAGATACTAAACTTTTCATCAGTAAGTGGATGAGGAGGAGGGAGCGGGGGTTACCTTTCATGTGTGTATATATCTTCTCGTGGAGGGAATGACAAAAAGCCTGGAAAAATCCTTCAGACTGGAGATAACCCTCAGACACAAGGCTACCCAGAAGCTGAGTCTCTCGGTACTGCAGAACCCCAAAGGCAGCAATGTCACAGCGGGCAGGAGTGGTCGCAGCCCACAATGCATTTCAGTGCAGAGTTCCTCTGCACTTTTGGTGTCAGGTCCTGCTGGCTTAGAGCAAGTGCTGGGGCACTTTATGATATTCATGTATTCAAGCTGCTCATCAGATCGCAGACAGGGAGAGTTTTTCTGCTGAGGCAGCAGCTCTTTTCAGTATCAGGATCACCCCTCAAGTAAAAGCCAGGGCTGTTTGTGGACCCCCTCTTAGCCAACTCTCTCCTCCTCACATCGTTACCAAGAATACAGGGACAGGATCCACAAATTACGACCATCTCTTGAAACCTGTGCATGGGACCACCCAGCGGAAAACTTCAAAGTTTGCCTTTAGGTCAGGAAGCTGAGGAGTGACACAATTCAATTCTTCCTTTTTTTTTCTTCTAGAAATAGATCCAGAACAGATGCTGTGCATTATTTCTCAGTGCCAGCAGCTCATTTTGCTACCTGCCCCTCAAAATACTGGGGATGATCAGTTTGGTAGCTCTAAATTGGAAGTATCCTGGGTGCTGGTGAGTGGGAAGTAATTGTGAGAGGAAGAAATCTGAAATTAGTTCACTGATGGATGACCTCTTTAAAGCCTGAAATTGTAAGAGTCACAAGGTTTCCAGCAAGCTTGTGCCCATTTTTATACTGCAGGAGCTTTTTCTTTTAAGGAAACAGCTAAGAAATTGGTTTGGCAATTTACTGTTGAACAAAATTGAAAAGGATTGGTCTGAACCAGGACACCAACATGTTCAGACCATTTATATTGTGTAGCACATGCACTCAGCAACATGATGAGAGATGCTTTCTCAGAGGGCATCATTTCAGAGGCTTGCCTTTAATTATCAGTGAGCTGAAAGTAAACATTTGAGAACACCAGAGTTTGGACTGGGTTTATGCAAAACTTTAACAATAAATAACAAACCTGGGTTAAGTATGTGTATCAGAGTTGGTTAGACTTCTTGACCTTTTAGTTGAAGCAAAGCCACAGAGGTATATCTCAAGAGCAGCTTAACTTTGTCAATCATTACTAAAGTAATGGCATCACAACATAATGCTTAACTTCTGAGTGACGGCTAAGCATATTCACGGCAACACCCTTTGTGTTAAATGTGGAAGAGCTGTAGGTAATGGTGCGTTTCAGCCACTGGTTGTAAACTTCAGTGACAATCTATTACTGACTGCCGAACAAACTGGGATCATCCATTCCGCAGTGATCAGAGCTACGGTGCAAGCCATCCCTGCAGTGATCAGAGTTACGGTGCAAGCCATCTTCCGCCCCTGTTTAACTATGTCATTTGGATGTATCCATCAAGATCAAATCGGTCTTATATTGTGCAATGAATTTTTGCATCCCTTATGAGAACCATTGGGGATGTATGGTTTTTCAGATGCATTTTCCTGGTGAACCAACCCCTGGCAGCTGCAAACCAGCAGTAGAGTTGCCCATCTGCTTGTCTCGGGCTAGGAAGGGTTTCCTTCATCCTTGGTGCACGTTTGAGGTGGTAGGCACAGTGCATAGGAGATGGTTGGAGGTAGCTCTGCTTTTTCTGTAATGCCAGAATCACAGCTGAAGGCAACACGTAATGAAAGCATGGCCTCACAATATGGTCTGCAGGGTTTCTTTATTTGTAGCAGGTCCTGTTAAATACAGCCGCGGGTTAATATGGAACTAAGCTTCAGCAACGGGCATTTGTGAACAGCTATGAAAATACCGAAACAACTGCAAGGTGATGACCTTAAACTAGTGTTCCTTTAACTTCTAGCAGCTGTTTGAGTGTGTCCATGCAAACCTGAATTCGTTCCCTGGCTAGCAGTGATTTCTGAAGCGCAGGAAGCCATTGGGTAACGTGTTCTCTGGCTTAAGGCACAATGTGCACAGAAGTTTTAAAAGCTCCAAATTACAGAGGGTAAAACACTGCTGCAAACAAAGCTCTTCCCACGTTTCTCCTGCTAGTGATGCAGAGACCTGGAGCTTTGCGTTTTGCTTCATGGATCACAGGGACTGGAGTTCTGTGTTTAACCTTCTTCCAGGTAACCAAACCCTTCACTGGGACCAGGCTGGTTTTAGGGATTTTGTTGGGGGGGTAAGATTTTATAGAATTTAGTCATCAGCCCTTTTTATTTTGGGGGGAAGAATTTTTTGAGGACCTGATGAATTTGGGGAAGATTTAATGTTTGCAACAATTCAAATTAATGCAGAGAAAATGTGACTGCCTCAATCCCTTATTCTGTCTATGGGTATTGAAATGGAAGAGCATGGGTCTTGAGCAGCGCAGGGGGGGGTTGGCTGCATTGATAGATCACTGCCTCAGAGCAGATGCACTTTGCTGCAGTCTAACTACGCTAAGGTAGCTCTGCCGAGGTAGCTTGAAGGATGGTAAAAGAGAGTCCAGAGGCTGTCATTCAGCCATGAAGAATACTCAGGGTACGTGTAATCACAGCAATCGGCTGTCTGGTTTTGACCTGTTATTCTAATAATCAGTTGAAGTGCAAAAACAAAATTAAAATATTCTGCACCAGGGTGCATGTGTGACATAGCAAATTAGCTCAGTTTTAAAAGGACACGTCTGGAAGAGTTGAAGGTTCTGTCTTTTTCTCTATTCCTCATTTGGGTTTCAACCGCTCATGAAATTTCATAGATGATGCTTTATGTGAGAGACTTACTATAGCTAAAGACCTCTGGTGAAACGAGGGACTGGAAGGCAGTGTGTGCACAGGATCAGACGCGTTACAGAGATTTGTGGGGTGATTTCTTGCTGTTTACAGTGACACAAGCTTTGCACAACAAAATCCTTACAAAGAAGTCCTGTTAATCAGAGATGCAATATGAGATCTCTCAATTATACGTATTTGGTACAAATTTCCAGTAGAGACCAGAGCTTTCCAGTTTGACTCAAAGCAAGTCAGAAATCTCTACAAGTTTTGGACATATGCAGAAAGAAATCATAGAATCATAGAATGTTTTGGGTTGGAAGGGACCCCTAGAGGTCATCTAGTCCAACCCCCAAATCCAAAGTAAAATAATTTACAAATTACATTCTAATAGTTTTCTCCAAGATATAAATCTAAATTCTTCCATATTGCTCATTCTGCTTCCCAGTGGTATTGCAATTCTATACCCGATCTGAAGTTTTTTGTAGCAAATTTTAGCAAGTGTTATAACACGCCTAACGCAAGTCAGCCAAAAATTGCATTGTATTTGATTCAGTCATACTGATGAACCACTTCAGTTACTTTTTGCCCAGATAATCTGAAACTGAGGCTAAAATCAACAAGGCTTGCAAAAATCAACTTGCTTGAGCGGAGAGTGGAAAATATACCTGAAAAACAAGTTTCAGGTCTACATACTTGCGATGCCTGAAACCTGACTCTGAGAATGATGCACCACTGCTATCCGAAAACAGGAAAATGCTGGGTAGAGCATGTGTCTGGTCAAAACAGCTCCTATTTACAGCTACATTCACAATTAGCTACTGGAAAATGAGCTATGGACCAAAAATTTGGTCACGGGACATTTTCAGCAGACATTTCTGAATAGCAAAGCCCAGTTCTGTAAACAGGTCTCTGACATCTGCTTGTATCTCCCTGCTCTCATCCCTCCCTCTTTCACATCGAAAGAAATGCTTTCCCCTTGGCCTAGCTTTCATCTGCAAACTATTGAATTTAGTAAGCTCTCTGCGAGGTTATCCGCTGGTTTGGATGCGGGCTAGCTCAGACCAGAGACACGCAGAGGTGAAAGCTCAGCCCTGCCGTCTCAAGGGAGAAGTCTGGTTTTCATCCCTGCAGGAGCCAGCAGCACCCCATGGCTCTTCCCCTCTGATCTCCCACTCCAAGATCAGTAATTATATTGGAAAATTATAAAAAAAACCCAACACATATCTTCCCTCTCTGATTTACACGTGTGTTTTCAGTTAGCAGACTCTGAGTCGGACTGTGAGCTTGGCGAGAGGTGAGTGTGGCTCTCCGTTTTCTCACCCGCGGCTGCTCCCACCCTGGGCTCTTTCGGGGATGCCGTGCTCCTGCCCAGCGCACTGACACGGCAGTGGAACCAGGGTTTCCAGAAAAGGGACGTTTAGTTTTTCTTCCAAATGAGGAAAGGGAGGCTGGCAACCCTGTGGGTTTTTTGCAAAAACACTGGTGGCAGGTGCCAGTGTTCAAAGGCAAACCAGCTGCACGCTGCTTCGTACATCATCTGCTCCCATCTACATAGAGAAACTTTAAGTGGGTTCACTTGATGGAGGAGAACTTCTCAGTCCTCTGCTTGCTGGTGATGCTTTTCTTCATGTTGGTAGACATGCATTGGAGCTGGGATGGTCCCCTCGCACTGGACTGAAAGTTCCTTTTATTTTTCCCTTGTTAGGTGCATCAGGCAGAGCGATGAAAACTTTAGCAGCTGGTATGTGTGGTAAGTTTCAGATCTGTTTTAGAAGGAAAAAACTGGCAAATAATATTCTTTGATGGATATACAGAGAGAAAGGCATTAAGAGAGACTGATAGCTAGAGAGTATTGCTCCTGGGCTGTCCCTGTGTTCTGTCTTTACTGACTAATGGGAATCATTTATCCATATCCTCCTCACTGTACACTGACAACTGAGCTGGGCAAAACTGATGAATGATTTTGGGGAAAAATGTTTGAATTTCCAGCCAGCACTTGGCGCTGAGACTCAGCACTGAGACATTGGTTTCCGGGGACTTTGATCATGTCCAGTACACTGATGGGGAAACCACAACATTTAACAGCTATTTGCAAAAGATGTTAATGAATATGTTAATTTGAAGACAGGCAGCCATCTGTCGGTGCCGCCCGCAGATGGTGATGGTACTGTTCCTCCCCTGCTGCCTCTGCCTCAGGTTCCTGATGTTGTTTTTCCTGGCCTTGCTCCTGTCCTGCGGGATCTGCTGCTGCTTGCAGTGCTGGCGGAGCTGCCTTCCCCGCCGACGCACCCTGGCTGTCTTTGCGCTCAGCAGCTCGGATGCCTTTTGCGGTTAGTCCTCTCCCTACCCACCGCGAGGTCCCACTGGCCCCAGTGGGCTTCTCCATGGACCATCCCAGTAAGAGGGCGCCAGGCTTGAGTGGGAGCTGAGCTGCAGCCGGGTGCTGTGTTTCTGGTGAAGAGTGGGGTCCCAGCTCGGGCATCCTGGGGGGATGTTCAGACCATGGACTGGAGGCTTAAGCAAGGCATGTCCTCTTTTCCCCAGCCATACCTTCAGCTGAACTCAGCGCTCTCCCGGGGTGCCTCGTCAGGGCTTGGTCATGCTAAGGCTGCAGATGTGTGGGACCTTGTCCTTGGTGTTGGGGCACTCAGCTACCCGACATGCTCAGTCATGGGCACTGCCTGGGGACAGGCAGCCCTTTCCAACACGTGACCTGAATTTCTCAAGACCGCACTGGTCTACTTGAGCCACCCCAGCAGGCAGCTCGGCTGGCTGATGTACCCTGGGGTCTGTCAAAGAGTTGTCTTGGTGAGTGCTGTTCATCACGGTAGCTGCCATCAGCATTCCTCCAGGAGCACCCAGGCTTTTGAGGACGGGGCTCTAATGACTACGTGTAGCACCCAGCACTGACCTGGGGTATTGCCAGCAGCATCAGCAGGCTGGGCCAGACAATAGTCCCTGCAAGAAGAATAGAGCTAATTCTGTCATTAGAGTAAGCCTTTCCCAGAGGAGGTAATGCCTGCTTTCTGGGTGGTCATGAACGGTGTCTCCGCAGGGAGGACCCACCCTAAACCCACCCAAATTCCTCTGTTCTCACTTCTTGCATCTGGAGTTTGTGGTGAGAGGCTTTGTGCTGCCATGCTTCAGAAATTACATCCATGTTTTTCTTGTTTCCAAGTGGTTTGACAGCTCCTCCCAGGCTCACCCCTCTTACCCTCATGCTCGCTCTTCATGCCTGTCTACTGAACGGTTATGGCTTTGCTTTTTTACAGCAAGCGAAGCACCTCAGTGCCCATTCTCTGGATGTCCGAGCCCCTGCATGACTGCAGAGATGTCTTCTTCTCCTGCCCCACGGTTCAGCCTTGGGGGAACTGAGTTGCCTCCATCCTATGAAGATATTATGAAGGAAAACAAGCTCTAGATGCCACGTGTTGGCTTTCTGTGATTCCGCTTCGTTCACTGGAGATCTTCCATTATGCTACAGTAGTGTGAGATCAAATCAACCCTTTCCACAGGTTGGCCAAGAGGCTGAAAAGCAGCACATATTTCATCTGAACCTAAAAGGGGAGACAAAATGCAACAGAATAAATGCCAAAAGCATGTGTTGAATCTGTCACAGGAGCTCAGCTTGACATTTTGATAGGGCTCTGGATTTCGAGAAGCTCCCTCAAAGGTCTCTCTGTATTTGGGGTTTCTGGCTCAGCCTCCAGATTTATCTCTCTAAGGCTGCTCGAGCTGGTGCAACCTCGTGTTTTTTAGGACTGAATGTTGATAAATGACTTGATAGTTACTTCTCAAACTTAGGCTGCCTCCTTCACTCGGCATGGAGCCAACAAACACCCTCTGGCAAAGTCATGTTGTTCTAATACATTGTAATGCAATCATGCCACTCTGCGATGAAGGATCGTTTGCCACATTTAAAATATTTAGCACAGCATATCAGATTTGTCTAGTGCAAAAGGCAGAAAATTTATGGCTGGGGAGGGAAAGCAAGAGATGGGGTTGGGGGGGGGAGTAGGCAGCGGCAGGAACTGGCTACAGAACATGAAAGAGGTGAATTTGCTCATTTAAACTGTTCTTAATTTCACAGTGACTGTCCCCAGCTACTCTTGCCCTAGCATTGCAGACCTCCGGGCTTCGAATGGCCCGGGACCCACATGCCCATTCCCCACAGATGTGAACTATGAGGTTAGGTATTTGGTGCTTAGCTATGGAAATTTATTGGGATAAAGAATGCCATTTTCTTTGAGGTGACCACTGCGGACAGGATGGGAAGAGACTTCAAGAAGACTGCCTTATACCCAAGCAGGATCAGCTCTACCTAAGCCATTCCTAGGAGGTATTAGCCTGCCTAGTTCTCAAATTACAGAGGAAAGATGCCAAATTTCCCCCTTAGCTGGATTCCAGGTGAAAGCAAAGATTGCCTTTGTTTGTCACGGGCAGGTCACTGGAGGCTGGTTTCAGCCTGCCTGACCTCTGCTCCCTCAGTGGCGAGGGCTGGGGGCCACAATCAGACGCCTCTAGGTGCGGAAGGTAAACGTCACACCTCGTACTGTGCGTCAGGTGCCTGGGGAACCACGAGCTCACAGTCAAAGTGGGCAGCTGGGTCCATCTTGGGTACCCCAAAATATTAATGGAAGCCCACCACCTGCCTCGTGGAGCAGCTCCCCACCTGTAGAGCAGGGTTAGTACCAGTTCCTCTGCTCAGGAGGAAACCGGGAAGATAAATCCACTAAAGGTTATGAAGTGCTCACATACTCTTATAATGAGGCTATATAAGCACCTTCGCTAGATAAAGAATTATAGCATATTTTGAGAGACAAATTCTCTGCCAGCACCACTGCAAATTATCTCCATAAAATCTTATTTTAGAAGCAACTTTAATGTTTGACTCTTGTGTGAAAGGAAATAAATGTTACTGTAGCAAAATGAATGTTTGTGCCAGCAGGCTAAAATATTACAGGGATTATTAATAAGGAAAATTAGCAAGCACAGCCTCAGCCAGCAGAGAAGTCGAGCAATCCCTGAGTGTCCTTTCACTGGCTGAACTTAGTAAGAATTGCAAGCAATCAGCACCTCTCAGGATCAGACCTTTTATATACATAACTGCCTTCCCTACTCAGCCCCTTCAATTTATGCCCTGAAGCATGAGATTTGATTATGTTTGTCACTTCAGCTTGTGTAGCCTGCTAGCGGGCATTAAATCAGCCATCACTTCCTTCCCACCTACACACTGCATTTGCTTCAGTGACCCCTTCGTGGAAGTGAACTCCACAGGTTGTCTGCATTAGAAGCTGTATAAAACATTACCATCTCCCACTTATTAATTGCTTGGCTCTAAAGAAATTACTGCCTTTAATTTCATTGAATGTCACCTTCTAATCAGATGGCTGGAGAGGCTAACAAGCAAGAACTGCTCTGGTTTCAATGCCTCCATCACTCTGCATCCCTATTTCACAAGGTCCGGTAAGCGGCACTCATTACTGAGGCGGTAAATCCTTCCCCAGCCACCCAACAGAGGGCAAGCGAAGCTTTCGGCAGCACACCCAGGAGGCTGCTGCTCTTGCAGAAACATTCGTAGGAGCAGGTTTGTGTCTCCGTGCTGCTAGTGTGCATTCAAGTGCACTCAGCTTCATGTTTGGGGTGCTTTAATTATGCATAAAAGGAATAAAATTATTCCATCAAAATTGTGTCAAATGGCTTACAGTAAATAAAGCCATGGGCTGCCACAAAATGAGGCTCCAGCTGGACCCGTCTGCAAAAAGAGTTTGTGTAGGGTTGCTGGGGAGCGGGGACACGACACACAAACTGAACTTGCTGCTGGCTTGGGATGAAGAAGGAGAGTACCATGAGAGGGGGTTTAGTGGGCACTGCCCTGGTCCTTGGCTTCCTGATCATTGAAATGGGGAAAAGGATGGGTTCCTTCCTTCTACAAATATATTTAGGGTGGCCCCACTGACCTACTGTTGCTTACGAAAGCGGTTTCTCCCAGCCTGCCCCCTTTCTCCCTGGTGCTCCAGCAGAACAGGCAAGATTTCTCCAGACCTGTGTTCCCATTCTTACAAAAGCAGAGATTTTACCTGGTATCTTATGCTTTTGTAAGCACTCATCCCTTAATGAGGGCAGTTAATGCAGTTTGGCTGACATTTCCAGAGTTATAAGGAAAGTCGAGCCATTTGTGACCCTCTGGCTGCCCCTCATCCTCTAACTTATGCTCCCTGCTGACTTTGAGAAGAAATGGCAAACTGCTCTAGAAAAACCCAGAAAACCCTGGAAGGCAGATGTATTTGTTGGGGAACTTGTGGTCAGTAAGCCTTGAGAGGGGGAAACGGGAGCAGTGCAGAGGAGCTAATTGCTTGGTGGCCATCTGGAAGCAAAAGACGAAGGGAACGTGGTGAGGCACATGGCTGGACTTTCACCTCCACACAACAAGAGCTGAATAATAAAGTAATAAGCTGGCTTTCAGGCAAAATAGAACAAAACCAAAGGCAGCTGAGTCATAACAGGGTCCCGGTCAGGGCTGTCAGGAAGGTTGCACATGAAAGATGGGAAAATTATAGAAATGCTCATTAATCTGTTTTTTATCGTCATCTGAAGACTCTGGATTATGGGCTAAAGGCTTTCGCGCAGGAAAGAAGAGGATGGGGCCGGGGACAGATGCTTGCCTCTCTCCGGGTCACTAGATGGTACAAGTCTGGCTCTTTCCTTTCTTGCTCAAAGGCATCTTACAGCAGGGACCCAAGAGCTACCAGGAGAAAATTGTTCTCCGCTCCCTGTAACAGTGAATGGACATAGTATTTCAGTCATTAATTGCTTGCCCACAATATTTAACAGATGTAGAAGATCCAAACTGGGGGGGTGGGGGTCCAGCCCCAGCTGAGAGAGAAAACCTCACTTTCTTGGTGGAATTTTACTTTTCTCTCTTGGAAAGTTTATAAAATTACTATAAGTACATGTGTCTAAACTGAGGATAAAGTCTACAGCTGATGAAGAGCTGTTGCTGTAGTCGTGCACTGGGGTCTGGGCAGCCTCCGAAACCACACCCCACTTTCCCAAGGGCTGGTCCTGTTTGTGCCACCGCCTTTTGTGTGTCCTTGCAGGAGAATGGTGATTTCCCTCACCGGAGACAGAGCAGGTCACCTAGCAAAGCACCTTTCTGGGCGAAAGTTGGACGTGGGTTCGAGAAACATGACGCTCAAAAGCAACTGCATTTATTATATCTCACTAATGTTACAATATGTAAGGAGAACAGAATTCTGAAGTAACATTCTGATCTACTAAAAATAATTGTTCAGATCTACTGAATTCACACCAAAATCACATTATAATATGTGTGAAAAGGCGCGAAATCCATATTTCAGGAAATATTTGTGCAGCTGCAGTAGGAAATAATCTCGTTCACAAGGTCACAGCAAGGGTGAGTCCTAATCACAGCCGGAATTATTAAGAGCCCTTATGAACAAGGCTGATCGAGGTAGTGAGAGGATGAAATACTGCATGCAGAAAAGGACAGCCATTGTGGATGTCATTGTTTTATTCTCTCTCTCACTTGCTTGTATCAAAATGGGAAATCAATACCTATCTGTAAGGCAAGAAATCAACTTAGGAAAGAGCTTACCTACAAGATTTTGCTATTTTCCATAACCTGCAAACAGCGGGTTCCCTGGCAGACTGCACCGAGCTGCGTGCTGTCAGTGGAGAGGGCAACGGGGAGCCCCAGATTCAAGTAGACACCATGGGGCGGGAACAGCAGGGAGGAAACGTGGGAGTCACCGCTCTCAGCTGAGTCCCTGGCTCTGCCTATACCCTGGGAAACGAAGCAATGAGGCTGAGATGCCCAAACATACAAAAATACTCCTTGGAAGTTAGTGAAAAATCTGGAGAAGCCTGAAAGGCTGTTGGCACTGAAGGATTAAATGTTGGGCCTCAGGTGGAAATTGCAGCTGAGCAAAGAGCCTTGGTAAGCCATCAGTGGCCATCAGGAAGGCAAAGTCCATCTATTTTCATTCCTAGTGAGCTGCTGCTTAATGGGATGTAGGTAGGTATTAGGGAAATGCCTTAATATCTGAGCTCACCTGCAACGTCATCAGCCTTAGGGACTGGTTGTGATTTTGCAGGAAAAAGTAAGTCCTGTGTACTTTCTGGGAGGTATCTTGCTAATGAATAAACAACCAAACTAAAGCAGACCTGTGTTGTGGCATGGTAATGAGCTAATGGGGAGTGAACAGTGCAGTCAAGAAATCAGAGTCAGAATTAAATCAAACCGTGAATTAACAATTAAATATTAACAACTGATCAAAACATCAGATAGACTGTCAGCAGGATTTGAATAATGAAGCAATGCAGCATTGGACTGGTTGTTACAAAACATTAACCCGGCAAACCTAAGGCTTGCTGTGACCTTCTCCTAGTCCTCTTGTG